TTTAAATATAAATAAATAAAAATATTTTTATTGATTTCAGAGAGGAAGAGAGTAGACAAAAACATCTGATGAGAGAGGAACATTGATTGGCTGCCTCCTGCATGCCGCCTACTGGGATTGAGCCCAAAACCTGGACTTGTGCCCTGATCGGGAATCCAACCCGGACCCTCTTGTTCCATGGGATGATGCTCAATCCACTGAGCTATACCAACCAGGCAATAAAAACATATTTTTAAAAACACATACACCAAGATTAGACTACTTTCTCATATTCTGACTTGTCTGTGTCCTCAGCCCATTTGTCTACTCTAGTTTCCATGTTCTTGTTCATTATTATTTTTTTCATATATTTTATTGATTTTAGAGAGGAAGAGAGGGGGGGGAATAGAAACATCAATGAGAGAGAATCACTAATCAACTGCCTCCTGCATACCCCCTACTGGGAATCAAGCCCACAAATCCTGCCTTGACCGGAATCGAACCTGAGACACTTTAATCTGCAGGCGGACTCTCTATTCACTGAACCAAACTGGCTAGGGCCATTGTTTTTTACGGCTCATTGTAGCATAGGCATCATTCCTAATTACACCCCTTCACACATACAAAGGGAAAGAGGAGGATTTCATGCCTTACCTGGTTTTTTGCCACCATAGAAGTGAGTGTATTCAGCACAGGTAATGTACCTGAAAGAGAGAAAGAGAAATCTTACTTCCACCCCTTTGTAAAGAGGACAGAGTCTCTGGAAGTGATGGATGACTGAATCATTTTACTCAGTCAGCAAATGTTTATTAAATACCTACTACATGAAAGGCACATACTGATAAACACAACAGGAATGGGAATACACAAACAAGTAAATACAAAGTCCTGCTTTGCAACTGAACTTAACAGAGGCTTGATGATGAGAAGGAGCTAGCCATCTGAAGATCTGGGGGAAGAGCTTTCCAGGCGGAAGGACCAAGCAGGCATGTCACATACAAAAGCCACTAAGCAGGAAAAGCTGTTGTATTCCCAAAAAAGAGTGAAGCCGCCCTAGCTGGTTTGGCTCAGTGGATAGAGCGCCGGCCTATGGACTGAATGGTCCCAGGTTAGACTCCAGCCAAGGGCACAAGTCTGGGTTTGGGGCTCAACCCCCAATAGGGGGCGTGCAGGAGGCAGCCGATCAGTGATTCCCTCTCATCATTGATGTTTCTATCTCTCTTTCCCTCTCCCTTCCTCTCTAAAATCAATAAAAATGTATTAAAAAGAAAAGAAAAAAAGGGTGAAGCCACTGACGAACTGTGGGTGGGGCCATGTGGCAGCAGATGAAGGAGACACAGATGCCGGTCCGAGGACTCCGGATTTGCTGTAAACAGGATGGGAAGCTTTGGAGGGTTTGGAGCCGAGCTCTGACATGATCTAACGTAAGTCCTCAAAGCGTCGCTCTGGTTGCATCCTATAGCGGGACAAGCAAGAGAGGCAGCAGAAACCCAATCAGGAGAGAACTACAAAGGTCCAAGGAGTTGACATAAACTCCCCTTTGTGGGAACTGGTGGCGAGAGAGTGGTCAGTCCCTGAAATTGCCAGCAGGACTTGCTGATGGGCTGGAGGGAAAAAAACCTGCTGAGGGAAAGAGGTATCAAGGCTAACTCCCCAGACTTCTGACCTGAGTTAGGGAAAATGGGGAAGGAGCAGGCTCAGGCACTGAAAAACAAGATTTCCTTTGAAGCATATTAAATGTGAGATTTCCATTAGGCTTCCATGTGGAGATGTCGAGTTGGCAGCTGACTACTGCGAGATGAGATAGGTAATCCTGAGAGGTGGGGGGAGGATCCCCAAGAAGGGCTTAGGAGGAGAGGGATGGTCAGTCGTGTCATATACAGTGGAGGAGCACAACAAAATGAGGGCTGGGAATTGGCCACGAGATTTAGCAACATGGAAGGTACTGGGTTCCTGACAAGAGCAGTGCTGGGGACGGAAGCCTGAATGAAGTCGAAGTAGTTTCAAAAGACAGCAGAAATAAAAAAAAATAAAAAAGACAGCAGAAAATAGCCAGCTGACACAGCTCTTGCACATAAAACAACAGTAGCAGCTGGAGGGAAATATGGGTAAAGGGGGGAGGGGGGATCCTTTAAACTGGAAGATTCTGCCGAAACCGGTTTGGCTCAGTGGATAGTGCGTCGGTCTGCGGACTGAAAGGTCCCAGGTTCGATTCCGGTCAAGGGCATGTACATTGGTTGCGGGCACATCCCCGGTGGGGAGTGTGCAGGAGGCGGCTGGTCGATGTCTCTCTCTCAGCGATGTTTCTAGCTCTCTATCCCTTTCCCTTCCTCTCTGTGAAAAATCAATAAAATATGTTTTTGAAAAATAAATAAACTGGAAGACTCTGTTCATGTGTGGAAGCTGATGGGCAGGCCCAGCACACTGGGAGAGGAGGCGCAGGGGAGGGCTCACTCAGGAGCAGCGCTCGCGGGTGGGCAGGGCCAAGCGAAGTCGAGGGGCCGAGTCCGAGGAGCCGCGGCGGAGGGAAGGCCGCGCGCAGGTGAGGGCACCGACGGCCGATTAGAGCAGACGCCTCGGAAGCGGGAGATTGGGGTCTGGGGGGTGAGAGGCATTTACTCCACCTGAGGGGACGGAAGCTTCTGGGAGGAAGCGACACCTGAGGGGGTTCTGGGTCCCCTCCGAAAGTCGGAGAGGGAGACGCCGCAGAGCGCACAACAGGCGGAGACTGAGGCCGAGCGGGACGCAGGCAGAGCCAGGAACGCCTGGCTGCGGCTCAACTTACATCTTGTCTTTCTGGTGCTGTCTCTTCCCCATGGCGGCGGCGGCGGCGGCGGCGGCGGCGGAGGCGGAGGCGGCGGCGGCAGGACCAGCGAACGCGGAAAATCGTCAACACACGACACAGTCGGCCGCGTCCGCTGCTTCCCAGCCGAGACCCTTAAGTACTTCCGGGTCCGGCCCCGGAAGCGGGCACTGAGCATGCCGGGAGTTGTGGTCCCTGGAGGCAAGCGCGCCAGTCCGCTGTCGCAGCCGATGCCTAAGCCGTATCCCCATGGGGCTCTTGTTCCGTCAGAGCTGAGCTGCCTCCTGACTCGAAGCCAGTCTTCTCCCAAGCGCCTCGCCTTCCCTCTCAGCCCGGCTCAGTGCCCTCCCCACTCACACCTGTCTTGGTTTGACCTGGGTCCTCAGGGTTTTGGGGGTTTTTTTAATATATTTTTATTGATTTCAGAAAGGGAGGTGACAGAAACATCAACCATGAGAACTAACCACCAATTGGCTGCCTCCCACAGGACCCCACTGGGGATGGAGCCTGCAATCCAGGCATGTGCCCTTATAGGGAATGGAACTGTGACCTCCTGGTTCACAGGTGGACACTCAACCACTGAACCACACCAGCCAGGCCTCAGGTCTTAGAGCCTAAAGTCCCACCAGCCTCTGCTCCATTTTTGCTCCAGAAGGTCCAAAGCCCTCCCTGCTCCCTTGAGTATCTTCTGACCCACAACTTCCCTTGGCCAGATCACGTTTATGTGCCCCACCCAGAGCCCCAGACATCTGTCTACACTCAAGTACTCGGTGACCTTGCCCAGTCTCGTGGTTTTAAGTACCACTTGTAACCCCTGACTCCCAACACTAAATCACCAGTGCTCCTGATCTCTACTTGGGTACCCACTGATTTCCAATGTAACCTCTCCTCAAGGCGGAATTCTCCATCCCTCACCCCCCCACCCCACCCCACCCCCGTCTCCACTCTCCCCCACCATACTTCTCTCCACCTAGTTACCCAAACCCAGTTGTCCTGGCCCTTTTTTCTCATCTCATGGCTGGCCCCTTCACACACACACAGACGAGGATGGGATGGGTGTAAGTTCCTTAAGGGAAGGGGCCCAGCTGCTTGGTTTATCATCATCAGTACCAAGCAAGTTGTGAGACATACACAAAGGCTCAATGCATATCTGCTAATTGTCCATCAGTCATCAAGCATTTTGTGAAGGCTCACATCTCACATGCAGGTTTGTTTCTAAGGCAAGGGTGTGAAGCAACAATTAAGAGTCACTATCTCGCCGTAACCGGTTTGGCTCAGTGGATAGAGCGTTGGTCTGCGGACTGAAAGGTCCCAGGTTCGATTCCGGTCAAGGGCATGTACCTTGGTTGCAGGCACATCCCCTGTAGGGGGTGTGCAAGAGGCAGCTGGTCGATGTTTCTCTCTCATCGTTTCTAGCTCTCTATCCCTCTCTCCTCCTCTCTGTAAAAAATCAATAATATATATATAAAGTAAAATGAAAACATTAAAAAAAAAAAAAAGTTACTATCTTTGCCAAAACCGGTTTGGCTCAGTGGACAGAGCATCGGCCTGTGGACTGAAAGGTCCCGGGTTCGATTCCAGTCAAGGGCATGTACTCCAGGACAGGCGGGCACATCCCCACTGGGGGGTGTGCAAGAGGCAGCTGATTGATGATTCTCTCTCATCTATGTTTCTAGCTCTCTGTCCCTCTCTCTTCCTCTCTGTGAAAAAATCAATAAAATATATATTTTTTTAAAAAAGAGTCATTATCTTTGAAATTCCTTAGGAAGGTGCCAAGTTGGAAACTGACACACCAGCTCATTTTACTCCAGGGAGGGAAGAGATCACTGTTTCTAAACTTGGACCCAGGTGAGGCTTACGTTTAGGGGCCAGGTGTAGGAAGGAAAAAGGTAGACTTGCCAGTTAGTGGGGTCAGATGAAGGCCCACAGAGTCACTGCAGGGAAAGAAATCGCTCTCCCCTCACTCGGTTCTCTTTCAAAATGCTTGTGGCTGAATCCCCATGCTGGATTGCAAGTGAGGGGAGTTCGCAGTAGCAATGACCTGACCACCTGATGTACATAAGCTCAGGCCTCACGGCCTCAGGAAGGCAGTACCCTGACAAGCTCTTCGGGGTGCAGGGAACTCACGGGACTGCACAGCCCCTAAGAAGCCCAGCAGGAGAAAGGCACCTCCATGAGAACTTTATTCATTCCTCCGCCACAGTCTGCAGGGAAGAGGTTATGGGCCCCGCGCGTGGGGCACAGACTTGGCACTGTCATGGTCAGTCTCTGAGTCAGCTTTAGATCTGGGCACAGGCTGGAACTTGAACAGGACAGGTGGAGTGAAAACTCCAGGACAGGTGGGGGTCTCCACAGCAGGGGATGGTGTCTCCTTGGTGTTGGGGGAGTCATTACAGGCTGAAGTCCTGTACAGGAGACAGCCAAGATATGTCATGAATGGGACATCAACACCTTCAGGGGTACACATGACAAACCCCCTTCCCAAGCGGTAGGATGACTCTAAACACATTTATACTTCCAAAAATCTCTCCTGAGAATGTTTGTTCAGGCTGCTCCCTGCAGCTATGTTGTGATTGTGAAAACCTGGAAACAATCTAAACATCCATTAGGGAACAAGGTACAGCCGTGCAGCGGACTATTCTGGGGCCATTTAAAAGAATGAGGAAGGTTTGTATATCCCAACAAGAAAAGACACCCCACGCCGAAACCAGTTTGGCTCAGTGGATAGAGCATCAGCCTGTGGACTGAAAGGTCCCAGGTTCGATTCCGGTCAGGGGCATGCACCTTGGTTTCGGGCACATCCCCAGTAGAGGGTGTGCAGGAAGGAGCTGATCGATGATTGTCTCTCATCGATGTTTCTAACTCTCTATCGCTCTCTCTTCCTCTCTGTAACAAATCAATAAAATATATATATTTTTTAAAATGGTTCAGTATCTGAGACCGGTTTGGCTGAGTGGATAGAGCGTCGGCCTGCGGACTGAAAGGTCCCAGGTTCAATTCCGGTCAAGGGCATGTATCTCGGTTGTGGGTGTGCAAGAGGCAGTTGATCAATGATTTTCTCTCATCGATGTTTCTAACTCTCTATCCCCTCTCTCTTCCTCTCCGTAAAAAATCAATAAAATATATATATTTTTTAAAATGGTTCAGTAGCTGAAACCAGTTTGGCTCAGTGGTAGAGCGTTGGTCTATGGACTGAAAGGTCCCGGGTTCGATTCCGGTCAAGGGCATGTACCTTGGTTGCGGGCACATCCCCAGTAGGGGGTGTGCAAGAGGCATCTGGTCGATGTTTCTCTCTCATTGACGTTTCTAGCTCTCTCTCTCCCTTCCTCTCTGTAAAAAATCAATAAAATATATTTAAATAAATAAATAAATAAAAATAAAAATGGTTCAGTAAACTATGTTCCATCCATACAATGGAGTATTTGCATCTATTATTATTGGTGAATTTAAAGGTGGGTGTAGTGTTTTTTTATCTTCACTAAAGGATTTTTTCCCCATTGATCTTTAGAGTGTGGAAGGGAAGGGGAGAGACAGAGAGAGAGAGAAACATAGATGTGAGAGAGACACATCAATTGGTTGCCTCCTGTATGTGTACCAACCAGGATCTGGATGAATCAAACCTAGGACTCTTCAGTCCAAGGGCTGATGCTCTATCCACTGTGTCAAAACGGCTAGAGCTGAATTGTATATTTTAATATAACTTAATTATGTAATATATAAGTAATAATATATCAATAAGGCTATTAAAAAATTTATCTGGCCCTAGCTGGTTTGGCTCAGTGGATGGAGCGTCGGCCTGAGGACTGAAGGATTCCAGGTTCGATTTTGGCCAAGGGCACATGCCTGGGTTGCAAGCTCCATCCCTAGTGGGAGGCATGCAGGAGGCAGCCAATCAATAGTTCTCTCTCATCATTGATGTTTCTATCTCTCTCTCCCTCTTCCTTCCTCTCTAAAATCAATAAATATATTTTTTAAAGTTATCTGATGCAATGAAACAGCCAGTCTAAGTCATATTTTAGAATAACACTAAATGATATAGAATATACTTAATATCCGTAAGTGAAAACATAGGTGATTTTTAAAACCCCATATTTAGTAAATCCCTGCTTTGCAAAACAAGTGTGTATATAAATCATAGATAGGGCTGCCCACGGTTGATGTAATCATTTCCTTTCTGTTGGCCTCTGGGCTATTTCTAATTTCTCACCATTACACACAGAAGGGAGTGACTTTTCCACACTCCTGATTACATAAGGGTCCTTCCTGGAAATGGAAGGCATCGTCATAAAAATCATTTGTCTAGCCCTCGGCCACACCACCACAATGCCGTCAGAAGGTACCTGGCCCGGCGAGGTTCAGAAGCACACTTACCAGTGGAAGCCAGGGTAGTGGAGCTTGTTCCTGTTTCTGGGCACGTACGAGAGATGGAAGCCTCCAGGACTGAGGACTAAGGGGGTCAGGTCAACCACGCGTCTGTAAGACAGGGGCAAAGAGGCACTGTCAGCTCTGGGACCCTCCTAGGCGGGGCGTCTCCAATCTTGGTGGGCACCACTCTGCCATGGGGACAGGGACTGCTGAGCCCAGGCTCCTTCCTTGAACAATGAGAACCAGCGCTCAGGACCGTAGTGAGGGTTAACTTAGAGGTGGGGAGGAAATAAGATCTGAGCCTGGCCCAAAGCATGCTCCCCAGAATGCTCTTTCACTTACCTCAAGCCCAAAATAAATTCCTTTTACCTCTTTGGGTTCGATGACAGCCAGTTTAATTTCACTTCAGAACTTGGAGCTTCCAATTTCTCCTTCTGCAGGAAACAAAGGCAATGTCGGGACAAGTTTGAGGGCCTCACCGTGGGGGGGGGGGGAAATTACCTATATGAGAACTGTGAAAACTATGTGACTATCATTTAACCAGCAAATGGGTCAGGCTCATCCTCTGTGCTCACCTTGAGCTTGGAAATAGGGGCTAGGAGCCAACTGGGAAGGTCCTCATCCAGCCCGAGGAGGAGGGGCTTGCTGGAGAGAGCGTGTGGGTGAAGTGGCAGTCAGGTGGGGAAGGAGGTGGGGAAGGCACTAGAGAATGACAGCCTAGAGAGTCACCGCAGGGGAGGCCTGTGGTCCTCCACTTGTCTTCTGGCAGCCCTAGGATTCTGCCCGGTGCCTTTGGGGTTGCCTTGCTCAGCTGAAGCCAAGCAGGGAGCCTTCAAACCTTAACCCAATTATTCAATCAGAGGAGCTCCCCTTTTATTCCTTTACCCACTGCTGCTCCACCCAAGACTTTGCCTACAGTCCTAAAAAGGGCTTGGCTGCTTAAAAACAAAGTTCTGAGAATCACTGCTGTGGGCCCAAGAGCTGGGGGGTGGCTGCCCCTCCCAGGATTGTAGGGGAGGGGGCAATACGCCCACTGACCGACTTGTTAGGCAGCTGAGGAAATGGGCCAAAGACCCTGGGCATCGTGTAGACAGAGGGTGATGACCGGACCACCACAGAGGACGCAGTGATGACAGGTGGCGGCAGTGGTGGAGGTGGCGGCAGTGTTGGTGGCAGGCAGGGGGAGGTTGACCGGTTGCGCAAGAGGATGGGCTCTAGTTTCTTCACTTTTGGCTTCCTTCTCTTCTTCTTGGCATCTGTGACAAAAAGGTACCCGTTGAGCGCCTACCCCTCAGCCAGAACAGAATGGAGTGGGGCCAAACACGATGGTGTTTTCAGTTTCTGCAACAGAGACGGGAGGCAGGCCCCCAAAGGGCGGGTCCCAGCAATGCCTTGACCCACTGTTGACAGGCACCAACATACACCATCTCATTGACACCACAACTGCCTCATGGAAAGGGTACTTTTGTCTCTGCCTTCAAGAGGAACCAGAAACTCCAACTGTACAAGGCACAGGCAGGATCCACGATCAAGCTGCCCGACTTCAAGGCCAGAATCTCATGGGAAGGGGTTGAGGATCACTGCCAAGGAGGCCTGGGATTGACCTGGGCAGGTTGGTCTGCTGCTTCCCCAATCCCCAACAGGTAGGGCAAGAGGAAAGTCTTGAATCCACCAGAACTCTTGGGGATCCAGACGCAGGGCTGTCCTGGGGTGTGCAAAGACCCTTCTATGAGAAAATCCACCAGGAGGGGTCTTGCAGAAGGGGCTTAGGGAGGGAACCTTTAAGGGGAAGGACCCTGGGGTCTGATCCGTCTCTTCTCTCTTTATTAGGTCTTCCTACTTCAACAAGCCTGGCTATATTTACTGTTCAAAGCTGAAGACTAAAAAAAAAAAAAAAAAAAAAAAAAGCTGAAGACTATCAGCAAAGTGGGTGTTAACAAGCTCCTCCGACCAACCATCAGATCGCTCATCTATTATAGAATGAGGATAACCAATACCAGGGAGGCTAAGAGCCTGCACCTCAGAATAATCCAGACCTGAGTTCAAGTCCAGACTCCATGACTTACTATGTAACTTAGCCTCCCTGAACCTGTTTTCTCTTTTTAAAAAAAATATATTTTATTGATTTTTTAATAAATATTTTATTGATTTTTTTTTACAGAGAGAAAGGGAGAGAAACAGAGAGTGAGAAACACCCATGGGAGAGAAATATGGACCAGCTGTCTCCTGCACACCCCCCACTAGGGATGTGCCCACAACCAAGGTACATGCCCTTAACTGGAATCGAACCCGGGACCTTTCAGTCCGCAGGCCGACGCTCTATCCACTGAGCCAAACCAGTTTTGGCTATTTTATTGATTTTTTTTACAGAGAGGAAGGGAGAGGGATAGAGAGCTAGAAACACCGATGAGAGAGAAAATCGACCAGTTGCCTAATGCACACCCCCTACCAGGGGATGTGCCCACAACCAATGAACACTCCCTTGACCAAAATCAAACCTAGGCCCCCTCAGTCCGAAGGCTGAAGCTCTATCCACTGAGCCAAACCAGTTTCAGCTGGCCCTGTTTCCTCTTCCGTAAAACATGGATAAAATAACATCAACGCTACCTCAGGAGGCTGTGGTAAAAGGTACACATGCTGGGCATCCTGCCGTCAGACGAAATAGTGTCATGGAGCACTCACACTCAGCATCAGGGGAAGGGAAACACCCAGGTGAGCTGGGCCTCTCCATGTGATGCGGAAGAAAGTATTATAGCCCCACCACCAGGATAGTTTATTGCTGAATACAAACACACCGAAAGAAATGAACCCAAATCTAATCAGGGCATTAGAGTGACTGTCCAAGAAACACAGGCAGAGGGGGATAAACAAGACAACAGATATAAATCCATGATGTGTGATACCCCGAAGGACAACACTGTTCTTCAAGTCCATAGCCGGGAGGGGAGAGAGTAGGGCTCCCCTTCCATCTCAAAGGGGACTTCAGCGGCAGTGGCCACCGACCCACATCCCTGTGCGGTCAGTAATATGGTGCCTTTCATTCTTGCCTCTCAAGTGCCCCAATGTAGACACAAATTACATGGCCACCCTAGCGAAAAGGAACCTAGGAGGGCTAACAACCAAGCCAAGGTGTGGGCCTTCTTGGGGTCTAAAATGACGGAGGAAGTGTAGAAAGGCTTTCATGGACCTTCTGGGAGACCTTAGTATGGACTACGTATTAGTTTGTATTAGGGAACTGTTAATTGTATCAGGATTGACATTGTGATTATGTCAGCAGCTGTCTTTTATTTTTCATTCAGAAACATTAAAAAATATTCAGGAATCTGCCAGGACCGGTTTGGCTCAATGGATAGAGCGTCGGCTTGGGGACTGAAGGGTCCCGGGTTCGATTCTGGTCAAGGGCATGTACCTTGGTTGCGGGCATATCCCCAGTGGGGGTGTGCAAGAGGCAGCTGATCGATGACTCTCTCTCGTTGATGTTTCTAACTATCTCTCTCCCTTCCTCTCTGTACAAAAATCAATAAAATATATATTTTTTTAAAAAAATATTCAGGAATCTGGCTGGTTTGGGCTCAGTGGATAGAGCGTCGGCCTGCAGATTGAAGGGTCCCAGGTTCGATTTCCGTCAAGGGCACGTACCTTGGTTGTGGGCACATCCCCAGTAGGGGGTGTGCAAGAGGCAGCTGGTCAATGATTCTCTCTCATCGATGTTTCTGGCTCTCTATCCCTCTCTCTTCCTCTCTGTAAAAAATCAGTAAAATATATTTTTTAAAAATATATATAGAAGAAAAAAAAAAACCTCTAAATATATTCAGGAATATAGTGATGTCTGAGATTTCCTTTAAAGTGGGTATAGTGAAACAAGCATAGCAAGACAGGGGGAGTTACTAAAGCTAGGTGACAGCTACTTAAGCGTTCACGGTACTCTCTCGTTTTGCGTATGTCCGTTTTCATAAAGAAGACGTCAGGGACAATGGGTCCTGGGTCCGATTTTCTGGGTTACTTGGGGCAAAGGTGGAGCCTCACTCTGGGAATAGAGGTGCACACGTTGGATGCTCCTCTTCAGGTGCTCCAGGCGTCGGTACATCTCCATGGAGCCCATGCTGTTGCAAAAGTTCAGCTCCCCCTGGACTGCACAGAAGAACTTCGCCTGTGACACAGCGGGAGAGGGAGGGCAAGAGGAAGGAAGCTGGGCCGGTGAGACGCCGGCCTGCCTGCCTGCAGCACTCCCCAAGCTGGGTTGCCTCAGGCTTCTCAAAAGACCCAACTCTGCAAACCCAGGTCAGCCCAAACCCTCCCTCCTTCCCCGCCCACCATGCCCAGAGCTCCGCCCTGGAGGGCAGCAGGACTTCCCACCCAGTGACTTCCACCCCACCCTCCCGCAGCTCCCCCTGCTTCCCGCACCCAGAGGAAGGAGAGGAACCCGCGCTGCTCGCACTCGGCCTGCTTGCCCTTTCGCACCACCCGCTCGGCCAGCGCCGGGTTGCGGTCGAGGCTGCGGAAGAGGCGGCGCAGCGCGCGCTCCGTGTAGGTCGAGGCCTGCCTCTCGAAGGCCTCCTCGGATATGCGCTGGCAGAAGATCACGCTCTGGGGGAACTCGTTGTCGAACTCGTCCAGGATCTCCATCCGAGTGGGGCTGCGGGCTGGCCCGGGCTGCCGGCGGCCGTCGGGGCGGGGTCACCGAGGGTCCAGATGGCACGCCGGCAGGCCGGCCCCACCCGCTGCAGGCTGGGGAGAAGGGCCGCTCCCACGGCCCGCACTCAGGTCTCCTTGGGAGGTGGGAGCCCCGGAACACATCAGCTCTTTCCCGACAGCCTTTGCGCCGCGCCCACCCCGCCAGCCAATCCCCTCCGAGATCGCTGACGGGCCAACTCGCGCGAGGGCCGCACGTGACAATACCCGCCACTCCGGGCATGCGCTCTTGCACTTTCGAGGATGCGAACGCCGCTGTGCTAGACTAGACCCCCCAAACCTCACACGGGCGGCAGGGCTTTGGTCAGGGCTCTCCTAGGGCCACACTAAGAACATGGTAAGCACAGGAACTCCTAACTTATTTTTTTTTAAATATATTTTATTGATTTTTTCACAGAGAGGAAGAGAGAGGGGATAGAGAGTTAGAAACATCGATAAGAGAGAATCATCGATCAGCTGCCTCCTGCACACCCAGGTACATGGCTTTGACCGGAATCAAACCTGGGACCTTTGAGTCCGCAGGTCAAAGCTCTATCCATTGAGCCAAACCGGTCAGGGCCCTCCCAACTTCTTTAAGGCCCACACCCATTGGGCAGCTTCCAGCCCCACCCCATCTCAGCTGGGCCTCCTTCTCAGTGTGGAGATTTCCAGGCCTCCAGCGAGAGCCACGCTTCTGCAGACAACTGCCGGAGGACTTCATTCTGCCCGACTCCTCTTCCTCTCCGGCATGAAACCCACCCTTCAGCCTGTCCTCTCACCCTATATGGTAGGCAGTTAGACATGAGCAGAGTAGGAAGGCCAGGCCAGGTATACAAGGTCACCAGAGTGGGAAGTCCCAGCTGCCTAGAAAAGAGTTTGTTGGGTAGAATCTCACTCCCAGGGTGATCTTTCTTCTCCTAGCATATTGTTGGTTATGCACCAGGTTATGCATGTGGCTAGCCATGTGGTAGACTCCCTTAGAGGAGGAAAAGAGGGCGGAGAGTAGACTCCCATACAAGACCTCCCCTGACCACTTCCTTAAGCATTAATCCCTCAAAACAATGAGAAGACCTGAATCAAATAATCCTAGGAACAAAGCCTGGGGTCTGTTGACTAGAGACAGAGTTTCTCCATCAAACTAGGGATAAAATCTAGGCCTCAGTTGTGTTTCAGTTCCAGGCCCAGAAAATGCAGCCAAACCTGGCCCAGCACTGGCTTTATTGACTAATGGTGGGGGCCGACCAATCAGTGGAGACCAGGACCCTAAGGACACTCCTGATGTTAACTATTGAGATCCTTTCCTGAAACCTCCAAATAAAAGCCCTTCATTAGAAGGACCCACCAGGCTGGTGTGACTCAGTGGTTGAAGGTTGACCTATGAACCAATTCCCAGTTAGGGCACATCACTGATATTTCTATATCTTTCATATATATATATATATATATATATATATATATATATGATGAAGGAACCAGCTCAAGCTTTCTCTCTAGAGCACACGTTGCTTTCCCCCCTTCTCTCCCCACCCAAGAGCATTTTCTTTTGCCTTTCTCTTAAGCTCCAAGGGTCCTTCTTTTGTCTCTGTAACTTGCTTCCTGAATCCATGCAGCCCAGCTGGCTCACTTCTTCCACGAATTGCTTCTTCCTTGTGTTATAGCCCCTCATCCTCCCCCTGGTTGCAAGGGCTTCTACCCCCAGGATGGGGGTGAAACCGTTACCCCAATGTACTCAGCTAGGGTGGAGAGGAACTTCCAAACACCCATCTGGAACCCGGGCTTCCCCTTAAGGAGATAGCCTTGAATAACTGTCCTAGGGCACATAACTATCACTGTGCATTGTGTCAGGTCCTGATGGTGGAGATAGCCCTGCCAGAGCATGCCTGGGCCAGGCTCCTTGGCAGTTCTGCTCCAATCCCCCCAATTCCAGCTGTGAGGGTGTACATGCCAGGCACCTCATGGTCCCTCCTGCAGGCTCAGGACAGCGTATTTCCCTGTAAGAGAACAAGATGGTGCAGTTGGTGGCCATCACCTATGGGCTTCATATTCCCAAGGATACCCACCCACCCCAAATAGCGTTTTTCCTGCTGAGAACCCAGGAGACCAACCTCTCCAGAGACTGGTCCTCCCCAAGCCTTCAAGGAGGGCTTGTTCCAATTCGCCTCCTCGTGGTCCAGGGTGAGCTGGGTCTGAGCCAGGCCCAGAAAGACCGTCCATGCAAACCAGCGGTCTCTATTTTTCAACAAGACCCTGCTGACCAAACCTGGAGTTCCGAGTCTTACCCAGGGTGCTAGGAGGAAAGATCCTCTTCAAAACAGAGCTTTTCTTAATCAGGGCTTGCCTCTGACTCTGCACCTATCCAGCCAGCAGATGGGGGCAATTCCCCAGCTCTGCACCCACCGAATCCTCTGATGGCGGGTCCAGCCCAGCCCTGAACCACGACCTGATACTGGGAAGCGAACTGGACTGAGGCAGCAAACGCCCTTCCCCCAGACGCTGTGTGTGGTGGAGGAGACCTGACTGATGCCCTTTCATCATTGCACTGCTTCCCAGCAGCCCACAGTAGTGCAACAGGGAAAGAGTGTCAGGCAGGCCTGCCAGCGCCTGCCTAGCCAGCCTCTCCCGGTGGTCTGGGTGGTCTGTCGGTGGGGATTGCAGACCAGGAATGCAGGCCCAAGGGGGCGGGGCCTCTGCCTGGGGGGAAGGGTGCCCTCTGACCCCGGAGGCCCAGGCCTGGGCCAGGATCTCAAGTTTCCATGGAGAAGGGAGCCAGCAGGGCAGGGGGGAGGGGAGAACCTGCAGGCCCAAGGGGCCCCGGACTAAGAGGAGGAGGTGGAGGTGTGGGGGATGGGGGCCCCCAAGGTTGGTCCCAGATGCTTTGACAATATCATTGCACTGCTTCTCAGAGCACAGTAGTGCAACCTCGTCAGAGCACCTGCGGCCAGCAGGGGGGGACCCCCTCCCCCAATAAGGGTAGGGTGGAAGGAAGCTCAGTAGTGGGAGGGTGGGGTCAGAGGTCTGTCCTGGACCCCAGGGATGGGGGGGAGGGGGGTGATTTCAATGGGACTGCAGTCCTCAATCCTCGGGGTCCCCAGGACCCCAGGGCACCCGAGCCTTACTCAGCCCGCTCCAGATATGGGTGGACGAGAGCCACTCCCCCAAACTAAAGGGTAGCTCCAAATCCGGAGCGGGAGTGGACAGGGGAGAGGGGCTTACACACAAAGAAGACGGGCCCGTGCTCCACCCCAGTCCGAAGCCCACGGGCGCTCGAAGCGAGGGTGGTTCAGCCCGACGACCCTGCGCCCTCACCGGCCCCCGGCCCGCGGCCCGCGGCCCGGGTGGCCCCACTGCGGGCCGGCACGTCCCTGCCACCTCAGGACCCCATCCCTGGCCCATGGCCCTCCACTTGGGCTCCGCGGTCGGTCCTAAAAGATTCGCTGCGCAGGGGAACAGGGGTTTTGGGGGGATTTAGGGGGGGTTCCCGCCCTCTGGGGTCCCCTGCCCAGAGAGAGCGCCTGGAGTCCGGGCTGCTCCCCTCCACGGAGTTTGGCCGGGTGGGGCCGCCCTCCCGCTCCCCGCGCGTGGGGACCCGGCTACTCACGGGACGGGACCCCCGCCCGCCCCCGGCCGGCGCAGGACGCGGCAGGTGAGCGGGAGGGGCGTCCCGGGAGTCGTCCGTCCCGCGTCGTCTCCCCGGCCAGGCCGGCCCCGCACCTCGTGGCGGCCTCTCGCCCACCAGCTCCATCTTTAAGCCGCTGACAGTCTGAGCGGAGCCCCCAGCCCCGGAGCCCAGCGCCGCGCTCATTGGCCGGCGCGGCGCCCCCCGCGCCCCCATTGGCTGGCGCGGGAGCGATTTCAAAACGGCCTCCGGGCGCCGATTGGCGGGGCCGCGGCGAGCCCAGGGCTCCGCGGTTTTAACAATGAGTTCTGCAAACCCTCCCACCCATTCATGACTTACCGGGAGGACTCGGCCCGCCTTTTCTTTGCGGGCAAGTTTTCTTTCTTCTTTTTTTCTTTTTTCTTTTTTTTTTTTTTGCGAGTTTTCTTTTCTTAATATATATTTTATTGATTTTTCACAGAGAGGAAGGGAGAGGGATAGAGAGCTAGAAACATCGATGAGAGAGAAACATCGACCAGCTGCCTCCTGCACGCCCTCGACCGGGCATGTGCCCGCAACCAAGGTACATGCCCTTGACCGGAATGGAACCTGGGACCTTTCAGTCCGCAGACCGACGCTCTATCCACTGAGCCAAACCGGTTTCGGCTCCGCGAGTTTTCTAGCTGCGAGGACAAGGACGCATGGAAGTCGGTGGGGGGCGCCAGCCGCACGGAGGAGGGGGTCCTTGGGAAATCCCTGCGGGGGCGCAGAGCTGCAGGTGTGCACGTTCTGCGGGCTGGCATTGCTCTCTGCACCTCGCAGGCCGGACACTCTGGCTGCGGAGGTTCTTCTGGCTGGAATATCCCCCTCCGACCACCCCCTCCCATCGCCTGTGGAATTTGCCCGAAACCGCCCTGGTTGGCTTAGGCTGCAGAGACCGGGTACCTGGAGCCCGTGGAGCCTGGTGGATCTGTGGGAGTATGGGGAAGGGAGTGTCGCCTGGGATCCCTGCGTGACTGCCATCCACTTTGTGACTAAGCATCCATTAAGTGCCGCCCCTGGGCTGACGGCCTGGAGAGATATGCTACACCGACTGCCTCCCAGAGCTGCAGGGGGAGTGAAGGAGGGCAGTAGGGAGGAGGCAGCGTGCTTAGACCCCCCCCCCCCTCCAGTTTTATTTTCCCAATCCAGAGGCTGAGAGCAAATGTTTTAGAGGCAGGCAGAGCTAGGTGTGAATTTCTGCAAACCTCGGTTGCCTCCTCGGCAAAATTAAGACAATAATCCTGGGCCCAGCGTCTGGCATTTAGTGTTCAATACATGAGAACTCTGCTGCTGCTGCGTTAATTTTAATTCTTGTCCTGAATTCTGCCCAAAGCGATCTTAACTGCTTCCACCTTGGTTTCCCAAGGATTACTATGTGTTGTGTGCACTGTTTGATTTTGCTCTTAATACTCTGCACGTATATCTGTGTGGTGGTAAGGAGGAAATATGCAGAGGCAGAAGGGGGCTCCTATAACCGGGAAGGGCCAGGGATGTACCAGAGTGCCCCCTTGATGGGCAAAGTGTGGTCCACACTATCGGTGCCTGGCCCACAGCCCCTTGGCAATTACCACCACAGAAAGGATGCTCCCTGTCAGACTTGCCGAGGGCTTTAGAATAGAGCCCTCCGGTAAACTCCCCAGTGTCCAGGGAAAGTGGGAAATACTGCAGAATAACCCCCCACCCACCGGCGGCCTCAGCCAATGCGGGCGGACACTTTGGTTGGATAACTTGGATGCTTTTTCCACACTGAGTCCCAGAACTCCCCGTAGAATTAAGCTGCAGTTGCCCAGAAGGGTATCTTGCTCAACAAGGCAACCTTCACCAGCTGCCGTTCCTTCTCCTCTCACAGCCCCACTGCAATTGGCCTGGACTCCAATCCTGTCTCGGGTCAGGCCAGTGATGGGAGAGGAATGCAGACTTGCAGGCAGTGCTTGAGAGGGTTGGCAGTGGATAGGTCAGCCGGGAAGGGGTCTGAGAGGGTGGGGAGTGATGGGCCAGCCTAGGACCCTCTCCCCCTCAGGCCTCAAAATTAGCTACAGCCTCTCCCACCCCTGTAAGGTTCACTGATTTCTCAAATGTAAGGTGTTATGCCCACACTCCTCCAAGCCCCCTTCCAGCCAGTTGCTACCCCCAGCATTCATTTAGGAAAATGGCTCCCTCTTCCCCCAGCAGCAACTCTAAGCCCCTACCTACCCTCCTGAGTGTTTAGCAAGTCCAGTAAGCCTGTAATCTCCACCACAACCTCTAGAGGTCACCCACACACCAGCAGAGCTAACTGTTACCTTCCTTTATTAGCGCCCTATTGATTGTTCCTGCCTTCCAGTTGTAACGGTTTGCCTGACTAAATTGTGCCTCTTCTTCCAGGAAGTCTTCTCAGATCTATGCAGGTAGCAGTTCTTTGAGGTTCTCTTTCCATGCAATATCTTTTGAAGTTTTGGTATCTCCTTGGGACCTTGGAAGGTGGTTGTGGGGACCTGAGATTTCACATGCCTGGGCAGGCTGAGGTGCAGGGGGTGCTATTTGCATAGAAAGTGAGAGAACCTGTGATGCTAAAATCCAGCAGATAAGCAGAATCCTGGCCTGGTGCTTGTTTAAAAACAAATGTCAAAGCCCAGGCTGGTTTCGCTCAGTGGATAGAGCATTGGCATGCTGACTGAAGGGTCCCAGGTTTGATTCCAGTCAAGGGCACATGCCTGGGTTGTGGGCTCGATCCCCAGTGTGGGGCCTCTTTCATCATATTTGTATCCCTCTCTCCCTCTCCCTTCCTCTCTGAAATTAAATATAAATATATATATATATATATATATATATATATATATATATATATATATATATATAAAATTAAAACAGCCAAAACTGGTTTGGCTCGGTGGATAGAGTGTCGGTCTGTGGACTGAAGGATGCCAGGTTCAATTCTGACAAGGGCATGTACACACCAGTGGGGGGTGTGCAGGAGGCAGCTGGTCAGTGGTGTTTCTCTCATCGATGTTTCTAGCTCTCTATCCCTCTCCCTTCCTCTCTGTAAAAAAGAAAAAAAAAATCAATAAAATATATTTTTAAGAATTAAAACAAATGTCAAAGACTCTCACAACTGCTAGGGGAGGGGTTCCAGGAAAATGGGGGTCTTCACCTCAAGGAGTGAGGGGTCTGGAGAGCTTGTACTTCATCCCTGCTGAAAAGAGGGGGGCTTCCACTTATCCTGCTGAGGCCCTGGCCAGCAGCTCTTAACAGGAAGGTTCATGAAGCTCAGGGTTGGGAGGGTCTCTTGCCATCGGATGGCCTAAGGGTGGCAGGGCAGTGCTGGAATGCATGGGAAGGCACCAGAAGGGTCTGGGCAGGTTCAATTGTTCAGCTGGGGGGGGGGCAGCAGTTTTGCAATGAGGAAGAAATGGTGGACGGGGCCCGGAAAGAGCTGGGACCTCCTGGTCACACCCAGGCTCACTCCAAAACAATCACAGACCAACATTCTTTAATTAACAAAGGCACTTAAGAACCCCTACAAACCCAAAGTCTTCACCAAGAGTGGCCCTACAGATGCCCGGCGCCGCCACCCTGCACCCGCCCCCCGCGGCCCTCAGAGTTCATCGTGACCTGCAGCGGCGTCCACGCTGGGCTTGATGAAGATGCCCTCCATGGCCTTCCACGTGTTGTGTGTGTTGGCGCTGGGCATGCCGTGCACCTCGTGCTGCCCTCGGATGGGGCTCCCGTACTGCTCGCCGGTGACCGACAGGAACACAGAGGTGCCCACGTGCTGGAAGCGCACCGCAGCCTCCCGCTCCCAGTGCTTCCCCGAGCAGCGCACGGTCCACAGGTCAAGGTCGTCACCCTCACCGTCTTCCCCAAAGGCACTCACCTCCTATGGATTGGGGGCGGGGGGGAGAGAGAGTAGTCACCATGAGATGGCACACTGAGGTCACTTGCCTGGCAGCAGCACTCACGCCTCCTGTACTGGGCCTCAGGTTCTTCCCGTACCCTCTGAGCCTCAGCTTCCACAGCTGCAAAATGGGACAACACCCCTCCCCCCCTCCAGCCCCAATACCCAGTAGGGCCTTCACAACATGAGTTCTTCAAACACACGCTAACCCCACCCCACCTGTCTGCCTCCCACAGAGCTAAGGCCAGGCTCCTCCTCTATGTCCCCCTACCTCCCATCCTAACCCCTCTAACTCAACATAAAGTCCAATCCCGCAGGCTGACAGTCACGGTCTCCACTTTTTTCTTCTAACAACCCTACCCACTCTCCCCACCCCACCCCAAGCACCCTCTGTTCCACCTCCACGTGGATCCCCTCCAGGGTCCAACTGGCCCCCAGGAGTGGAGCTGCCAGCAGGTTCCCATCACACTCTCCCTCTTCCGTTTTTCCGCTGGGCTGAACAGGAGGACCTCGGAGGAGTCCCGTGTGTCCCCAGAGGGGGCGTTCGGCAAACATTTCTGAATTTAAATAATTCCTACTTCCCAGAGGAAGCTGAGGCTCGGAGAAGGTGAGAGGCAGAGTAGGCTCTGCCCGCGGCCACACACACACACACACACACACACACACCAGAGAGGAGCCTGTCTGGGCTGGGGGAAGGGGCTCACCTGGTTATTGGACAGCGGCGACGGGAAGTGGTGCGTGTGCAGGTTCTTGCCGGTGAGCACGTGTGTCAGCCGCACGGCCTGCCCACAGCGCACGGGGGACCCGCGCGGACATCCGCCCTCCGAGCCGCTGCGGATCCGCCAGTAGCTGTTGGCGTCGTCAGACGCCTCCACGCCGGTCACCGACTGCTGGCCGCTGCCTGCGGGCGACACCCCACCTCGCCGGTCAATCCCAGAGCTCACGACCCTCAGGACCACCTCCACCCCATACCCTAACGGCTCACCCCGGCTCCCACCCCGGGTCCCCGGATGCACTCCAATCCTTTGGCCCGCAGCTCCCAGACGACCCCCTCCAACCGCCGGTCCTTGTCGTCCTCAGTCCCCCCAATAACTCCAGCCCGATAACCCCCAGACCCCTAGCCGCAGACCCCCCCACAGCCGCCCAGCCTTCAAACGCCCCGCCTCAGCCCCGCCCCCTAGCGGTGCCCGGTCCTAGGCCCCGCGCACCGGATCCGTATTTGACGTCGTGCGAGTGCAGCCGCACCCGGTGCTGCGTATTGAACAGCTTCAGCACCGACCCGCAGGTCACGAGACCCGCGCCGGGCTTGGCGGCGCCGCTGCCCGGCACCGAGAGCGCCAGCAGCAGCCCCAGCAGCGCCGCCCCCGCAGCGCGGCCGCGTCCCGCGCTCCACATCGCCCCGACCGGGCTCCGCCAGCTCCGGCCCCGAGCCGCTTCCGTCTCCGCGGCCGGCCAATCCGGCTTGGACCGAGCCCGCCGCGGCAGCCAATCGCGGATCCGCACGGCGCTCCGCCGGCCCTACCATTGGCTCGTCGCGGCCAGCTTTCCAGAGGAGGGAGCTGAAGACACGAGGAGGGTTCTGATTGGTCCACGCTTCCGAGGGCCCACCAATGAGAAGCAAAGGAAGGCTGATGTGGTTCCGAGCTGTGAGAGCGGCCGGGGAGGCTTTTGGAGAGGATCCTTCCAGCATCCTCTGAACCCGTTGGTGAAGCTTCTTCATCCTGGATCCCCGAGCCCTCAATCATGGTCTATGTCCTCAGCCCCTGGGTCCGAAGTTGCAGGGTCTTGAGGTTGCTCGACCACTAAATGTTGTGGTCACAAAGTCGACAGAACTCAGATAATGGATCACCTGGCCCTTCAGCTCTGGGATGAAATACTCCCTCAGTCACTCGGTCATTTCCCCCTTTCTGACATTGGGTCACCTCAGTCCCTAGACCTTGGGGTTTCTGAATTCACAAGCCTCTTACCGACTCCTTCTATGACACTATTATTGCCACTGGGCAGCAGAGGGCAGCAGGGAGCTGTGGTGTTTAATATAACGGCGTGTTCTCATCGGAAAGCCCTAAAGCTGTCTTAGCAAACTGGAGCCCCGTTAGAAAGCGACTGTAGAAACCCCAAGCCTAGGCGACTGTGTTTTGGGTTTCTGACACGCTTGGGTCTTCGTGGGTGGGAAATTTACAACAGTCACCAATTGCTCAAGGCCAAAAATTGGGGATTTATCTTTTTAAAAAAATATATACTTGGTTGATTTTTTTTTACAGAGAAGGGAGAGGGATAGAGAGTAAAAAACATCGATCAGCTGCCTCCTACACACGCCACACTGGGGATGTGCCTGCAACCAAGATGCATGCCCTTGACCGGAATCAAACCTGGGACCATTCAGTCTGAAGGCCGATGCTCTATCCACTGACCCAAACCAGTCAGTTCTGGGATTCATCTTTGATACCTTTCTTTACTGCACTCACATCTAATCCAACACTGACTCCAAAACAGAATGCAACGCAACTCTCCTGCATCCCTCACCGCTACCCTAATCCAAGTCACTCCATCTTCCCTCTAGATATCTACCACCGCATCCTGATTTCCCTGTTTCTGATACTCCGGCCCCTCCAAGACTCTACACAGGAAAGTGACTTTGCCTTCTATACCAGATCATGCCAGGAACCTGCGGAAAGGGACAGTTGTCAGAAAGAGAAGTGTTCATTCTTTTATTCTCTTTTCCTGTTTCTTTCAGGAAATTGGGTGACCTGTTCTGAGATAGTACAAGCAACTTTGAGGTTCCCTGGAGTGAAGGTCATGGTCCCAATAACACAACCCTCAAAATACACGATTTTTCATTCTCCGGTGGGTATTTGTGGGTGTCTATGGCTACAATAGACTATTTCTAGACTTATTAATGAATCAAACCCCTAGTTAGATGAAAAAGCATTTTAGGGAGTATTTTATAAGTCAAACGCTAAATGATCAACCTATTACATGGCCACTTTTATTTTTAAAATTGCTTCTTGTTTCAAAACACTATCTCTTTGATGTTGTGTGAGCTTTGGGTTCAATACATGTCAAGAATAGTCAAGCTTTTTGAGTGTTGCAATATCATAACCAAAACAGACTCATTCTTTTTTTTTAATTAATATATTTTATTGATTTTTTTACAGAGAGGAAGACAGATAGAAAGTTAGAAACATCAATGAGAGAGAATCATCAACCAGCTGCCTCCTGCACGCCCCCTACTGGGGATCAAGCCCACAACCAAGGTACATACCCTTGACTGGAATTGAACCTGGGACCTTTCAGTCCGCAGGCTGACGCTCTATCCACTGAGCCAAACCGGTTTCCACCGGACTCATTCTTTTACTGAGCAAGTTTATAATAAATACCTTTCTCTAGAAGTGGATTATTTTTTAAAAAACTAGCCCTGGCCAGGTGGCTCAGTTGGTTGAAACATCATCTTGTACATCAAAGGTTGCAGGTTACATTCCTGGTTAGGGCACATGCCTAGGTTGTGAGTTCGATCCCTGGCCAGAGTGAGTATGGGAGGCAAACAATCTATGTTTCTTTCTCACATAGATCTTTCTCCCTCTCTCTCTCTAAATTTATATATAATTTTAAAAAATATTTTTTATTGATTTCAGAGAGGAAGGGAGAGAGAGATAGAAACATCAGTGATGAGAGAATCATTGATCAGCTGCCTCCTGCACGCTCCCCATTGGGGATCGAGCCCACAACCTGGGTATGTGCTCCTGACTGGAATTGAACCCAGAACAGGCTGACGCTCTATCCACTAAGCCAAACCGGCCAGGGCCTACTAAAATTTAAAAAAAACAACACACATAACCTCACCATGGTGGCTCAGTGGCTGAGCATCGACCTATAAACCAGGAAGTCAGGGTTCGATTCCAGGTCAGGGCACATGCCTGGGTGGCAGGCTCCATCCCCAGTGTGTGCAGGAGGCAGCCAATCAGTGAATCTCTCTCATCATTGATGTTCCCATCTCTCCCTTTCCCTTTCTCTCTGAAATCAATAAAAATATTTTTAAAAAATTAACACACACACACACACACAACACATCAACCCCACCACATATCCTTGGATAAGGATTTAAAAATAGAAAATAAAACCCAGCATCATGACAAATGGTTTGGAGCCACTTAAGTCTCAGAGTGGTTTCTTACACAGCAAGACACCTGGAACAGGAGCTAAGGCCAGGTGTCCCTAGTACCATGTGCCAGTAGTTTCCCAGGACAGTCCCCGGGCACGTATTTCTGAGGCTGGGGCGGGGAGATGTTCAGTTCTCCCTTGAGGACTTGGCAGTGGGGCCTGGGAAGTTGGTGGGTATCAACAGCTGCTGTCTCTCAGAATCTTGAGGCTCCCCTTCTTAGCTCCCCCCTGCCATCAGCATTTCTTGCTCTCTCTGGAGCGGGGTGGAAGATGGCTGCTCTTCACCATCCACACTGACCTACGGCGATCAGTGCAAACTGAACCAGAATCTCGGGGTGCATCCCAAGCGCAGGCTTCTAGGAAAGAACCTGAGTGGCCTGGCTTGGCTAGAGATGTGCCGACAGGTGGCCAAGTGCATGAAAATGGCTATCGTGCCAAAACCAGTTTGGCTCAGTGGTAGAGCGTCAGTCTGCGGATTGAAAGGTCTCAGGTTCAATTCCGGTCAAGGGCATGTACCTTGGTTGCGGGCACATCCCCAGTAGGTGTGCAAGAGGCAGCTGGTCGATGTTTCTCTCATCGATATTTCTAGCTATCTCTCTCCCTTCTCTCTGTAAAAAATCAATAAAATATGTTTTTTTTAAATCCCTATTTAAAAAACAAACAAACAAAAAAACACAGCTATTGTGGCTCCACACGGTGGTGGCGCAGTGGTTGGCCTCAGGGAATGGGTCTTATGGGCTGAGCATGTTCCCTAAAAGATCCTTTTTTATTTTTTAAAATATATTTTATTGATCTTTTACAGTGAGGAAAGGAGAAGGATAGCTAGAAACATCGATGAGAAACATCCACTAGCCGCCTTCTGCACACTCCCTACTGGGGATGTGCCTGCAGCCAAGGTACATGCCCTTGACTGGAATTGAACCTGGGACCCTTCAGCCCGCAGGCTGACGCTCTATCCACTGAGCCAAACCAGCCCCAGCCCCTAAAAGATCCTTTACCGAAAGAGCTTTGTGGTAAAGTGGGTCTCTGACACCGTCCCTCCACCTTAGGGCTCTGAGCCCTCTGATTCACAGTGTGATAGTAAGTCTTCCTCCCTGGGCCCTAGGGTGTGGGTACTGTGGGAAGGTCCTCCCTGCCTGGCTCCAGTGGTCCTTACCCGCGGGCGGAGGGAAGGAGGGCGCTGCACCGGTGGCACAGGAAGGCCAGAAGCCCCCGGAGAACCTCGGAGATGAGACCTGCCATGCCCACAGACCCTTCTGGAGTGAGCGAGCCTGTCCAGCGCCACTGAAAGAAGTAGAGTCATGTGACCAGCTTGGGGCAGCCAATCACAGCTTGACCAAGCAGCAGCAGCACCATGTGGCTTGGCATAGAACCTCCAGATTCAGAAGGTGGAGGTGGGAAATGCCAGTTAGGAAAGCAGGTGGCCGTGAGAGCAGCAGGAAAAGGTGGCTCCTCGGTCGGAATACGAGGCTGTGGTGTGCCAGAGGGAAGGGGGGTGGGGGACGCCCTGGCAGAGAAGCCGCCTCTGGAAACAGAAGCCATGATGCACGGAGGCTGTGATGGAAGGGGACCGTGAACCCTAGAGGCCTGAAGAGCCGGGAAGATGCTGACTGGAGTACAGAAAAGCCATGAACAGCGATCTGTGTGCCACAGAGGGGTCAGAGCACTGCCAGCTGTCCTGAAAGCCAGCTGCGGCCAGGCCGGGCCCGCTGGGCGTGCTGTCCAACGGCTGGAGAGCAAGTGCGTGGAAGGGAGGCTGAAATCTCCGGACAAGAACACTGCTGCATCAACAGAAGCTTTATTTTTCCTGTTGGGTCTCTTGAGAGGCTGAGCAGAGAGCTTCTTGAGGGCGTTAGCCTATTCAGATCTCTGCTCAGTGCGAGGGGCCAGCTGGTGGACAGCGTTTCCCTAGAGCAGGAGGAAGAGTAGGGTATCCAGAACTTGGTTCAGCTTAGGGAGCCTCGGGGAATAATTTCTGAGGAATTATTCTGAGGAATGGCTGCTCTCTGCCTACACTGAGGCTCAGGAGTGCTCTGGATCTCATTCTCATCCCCCCAAATTTTCATAGTGGTTGTCCTCCTCCTCCTCCTCCTCCTCCTCCTCTTCCTCCTCCTCCACCTCCTTCTCCACCACTTCCTCATACTCCTCCACTTCCTCCTCCTCATCCATCTCTATCTCCTCTTCCTCTTCCTCTTCCCCCTCCATCTCTCCCTCGCCCTCCCTATTCTGTCTCTCCCCCATGTCCACCACTTGCTCAGACTGCCTGAAGCCCAGGCCAGTGCTCGGGGATGTGGAGAGCTTGGGCTCCAACGGTTTCGTGGGCTTGTGCTCCTCAGCTGTGCTGTTCTCCTGAGGGATGGGTACCTGGGGGCCGGGCTCCTCGACCACCTGATCCAGGGCAGTGACCGGCACAGACAACATGGTGGGGGAGTCTATGCTGTTCTGGGAGGTGCCTGGCGGGGAGGCCATGTGCTGGGAGGAGCCATGCTGGGAGGCCTCCAGGGACGCCTGCCGGGCCCACTGGGCCTCCTCCATCATCCGCAGCAGGACGTTCCAGTTGACCTCCGAGGCCAGGCAGATGTTGGAGCCTTTCACTTCCTTGAAGCCCAGCAAGAGGTCCACAAGTGTCTCAGTGATGGGGAAGGAGATGAGGCCCAGCTGCTTGGTGAGGTTCTTCTCAAACTTGTACTTGCACACAAGCAAGGAGACAGCCTGCTCCGTCATGTCGTTGATAAGCTCCTCAGACCAGGGGTTGGAGATGTAAGACATGGACTTGGAGGAGATGGAGGGCAGTACTGGCTTCTTCCTGTAATGGGGGCTCTGTGCAGCAGCCAGGGAGGGAAAGGAAGACATGTCATGCCACTCTCGCTGTCTGGAGGTGCCCCTCACCCCCACAGCCCCCTACGTGTCTCCCACAGGGGCACCAGGCCTGTCACACTAAGCGTATGGCCCCAACGCATCTGCTCTGCTCCCCGCTCAACCACTGAGTGCAAGTCCTGCGAGTCGGCCAACCCTCACGGTTATCACACTATCATCACACTGCCCACACCAGTCGGCCAGACTGGAGCCTGGGCCATCCAGGTTCCAGCAGATTCTTGCCCAGGCCAGGGTTCAGAAGGAGGGAGGGGTGCCTGGGCCTTGATGGGTGAGAGAGGGTCTGGGTCTGTGCTGGAGACCCACCCGCATGGAGCCACCTACATCTTCTCCACGCCCTTCCTGATCAGTCCCCCAACTCCCAGGGCAGCAGGACCAGAGAGTCTGAGTCCTAGGATGCAGAGCCCCACTCCAGGCTCAGGCTGCTGTCCACAAGGGACAGGACCCTCTCCACCTGGGACCGTCTCCAATGTCACATGCAAATGTTAAAAAAAAAAAAAAAATACCCAGAATGAAAAATAGCCTTTATTCATCTTTCATAATACCTGGCAGCATGTAGGCCAGGATTCCTAGTCCCCGTCAGCTTGTCCCCTGTCCAGGCGGTTTCCACTGCCCAGGGCAAGAGGCCTGAGCCATGGGCACCTGCCAGTGGGTGGCTTCTAGGAGTGGCGGCCTTTCCCCTGCACGTTTGCCCCTAAACTCTCCAGCTTGGCCCTTGAGGAAGCCACCTCAGAATACAGCGTCGCGAGTGTCGGGGTGAACTTTCTCACTAAGGAGGTGAGTGGGACGAAGGCAGGGAGGTGGTGGTAGGAATGCGGAACTGTGACCTGGGTCAGGTGGCTCTGCTTGGGCACTTCCACCTTGATCCCCGGGGAAGGCAGGGTGAGGTGGAGGCTCCGCCACGGCTGGCCCCTTTGGTTCAGAGACCCATTAGAAAATGGGGGTGGCCTCTGTTCTTTGGGGTGCTTGTCAGGTGCTTCCTGCCGGGGTTGGGGTAAGGGGCCCTTGGGCTCTTCAGTGGGTATCACCTGGAGCCTAAATCTGGTGGCTCCTTGGGCACTAGGCATGGTGGAACCACCTTCCTTCGTCTTGTCCCGTGTCTTGATCTTGGTCTTTCTGCCCATCATCTTGAAGCTGGAGTCTGCGTTGACGGGGAAATCATCGTAGAGCTCATCCTCGGGGATGGGGGAGGCCAGCGTGGAGCCCGGGGTGCTTTCTAAATTGGGGTCTACGGCGGGCTCCCATTCCGAGGGGAAGAGAGGGTAGCCGTTCTCCCACAGGGCGCCACTGAGCTTGTCCACGGCCTGGTTGACCACACCCTGCAGGGCGGGGAAGAGGTGGTGGTTGGCCAGGAGGTCCAGGGTCCGATGGGGCTCACGGATCGAAGAGTAGCCGGGCAGGCTGAAGGCCTCCGACTGGCTCAGCAAGGACTTGATCTCCTTGTTGAACTCTTTCTTGAGGAACTTCAGCTCCCTCTCGCCGAGCCCCAGCTCTGACACTTCCGGTGTAGCGAAGCTCGAGCCCAGCGAGTCCCACAGCAGGGAGTCCGCCTGGGAGCAGGACAGGCGTTTCTGGAGAGAGGGGGCGGGGCGGGGGGGGATCCTCAGAGGTGACCGGGAACAGCCCACCCAGGCTTGGCCCTGAGCTCTGGGCTGGGCTCCCTCCGACCCACCCCAGGCCACGGCCCCACATCTCACCCCTTTGTTCTCCAGCCTCAGCAGCCGTCTGAGGCTCTTCTCCTGCAGGAGCCTGTCCCTGATGGGTGGCAGTGGGCCCAGGCCGCGGTAGCCCGGGTCGCTGTCCCGGCCGTGGGCGCCCGGGAAGCCGGCTGTGACGTTGCTGAGTGAGTCAGTCACGGAGCTGGAGCAGGATGGGTAGTTGTTGGGGTGCCCGATGCAGAGGCTGGGCTGGGCGTGGTGCCGGTGCACCGTGCTGAGGCTGGGCCGGGTCCGGGCGCGCCGCCCGCCCCTCGGGGCCTCCACCGGGTCCTGCACCTCCACCAGCGGCTCCCCAGTCTCTGTCTTGGCGGCCATCATGCGCTCGGTAGCTTCCTCCACCACCCGCTGCAGGCTCTCCAGCACCTGGCCCTCGACAAGGAAGTCCAGGAAGTTACCGAAGGGCCGAGGGTCCCTCGTGCTCCCGCGGTGGCTGCGAAGCCCTGAGCTGCCCGAGGGGCCATATATGGACGGTGGGTGCGGCACGTGGCCCAGGCTGGGGGCTGGCCCCGTTTTCAGGAACGGTGGCTTCCTGGGCGGCCGCACCTGCGCAGAAAGGAAGGCCTGTCACAGGGATCAGGAATGGCCCCAGAGCAGGAGGGGTCCCTGGGGTCCTTTGAAGGCACTGGGAGCTAGGTGGGCAGAGGAAGGAACTGTGCTTAGAGCCCTGGGTTTAGACCCTAGTTCTGCCACCTCCAGGCTGTATGACTGTGGACACAAGGGTCCATCTTTTTTTTTTTTTTTTTTTAATATATTTTATTGATTTTACACAGAGAGGAATTGAGAGGGACAGAGAGTTAGAAACATCGATGAGAAAGAATCATCGATCAGCTGCCTCCTGCACACCCCCTACTGGGGATGTGCCCGCAACCAAGATATATGTCCTTGACCAGAATCGAACCCAGGACCCTTCAGTCCATAGGCCGACGCTCTATCACTGAGCCAAACCGGTTTCAGCTCAAGGGTCCATCTTGAGATCCAGTTTCCTCTTCTGCCAAGTGGGCATGGATATAGGATTGCTCTGAGCTTCCCTGACATGTACACAAGCCCTGGCCGGGGAGTCCACTTCTGCCCTCACACATGGTGTGAGTGGATAATCACAAAACCCCTCTGAGCCCCACTTGGGGCTCATTATCTGTCTGTCCTGCTCCATCGCTGGGCTGTACAGACCACCCTGCACACTCCATTGTTACTTCTGCAACTTGGGTCCTAAGCCTCGATAGACTCCATGATCCCACGCTGGGGCCCAGTCTACTGACCCAGGCCACTGAAGTCAGGGGGGTGTGGGATGAAATTGAGGTGGCTCAGTGATTAAGCGTGGACCTATGAACCAGGAGGTCACGGTTTGATTCCCTGTCACGGCAATGCCTGCTTGTGGGATTGATCCCCAGTGGGGGGGCGTGCAGGAGGCAGCTGGTCAATGATTCTCTCTCATCATTAATGTTTCTATCTCTCTCTCCCGCTCCCTTCCTCTCTGAAATCTAAAAATGTGTTTAAAAATACCTATGTGCTGCCGAAACCGGTTTGGCTCAGTGGATAGAGCATCGGTCTGTGGACTGAAAGGTCCTAATTTCAATTCCTGTCAACAGCATGTACCTTGGTTGCGGGCCCATCCCAGGTGGAGGGTGTGCAAGAGGCAGCTGATCGATGTTTCTAACTCTCTATCCCTCTCCCTTCCTCTCTGTAAAAAAAAACAATAAAATATACATATTTTAAAAAAGAAAAAGAAATTGAGGTTGACTAGGGCCCAGCAGAGGGTCAGAGCAGGTGGTCAAGGAGACAAGGACGTCATTAAGAGGCCTGGAGAGGAAGCCAACGGGAAGTCAACGAGAAAGGGGTGTTGTGATCTGGGGGGCACTGCGGCTGGTGAGGAACACATATGGGGTCGGGCCTCCGAGCCAGACCCCACCGGGCACACCTACCCGCGGCCGGTAGGTGATGTGTCCGGCCTCATCGTCCGCCAGGTACCCGGAGTGGTGGCGGCAGTTGGTCATGATGTGGGTGCACCGGTCCGCTGCCAGCCGTCCTCTCTCTTCCGTTTTGCCGTGTGGCCGCGGATTCCTCTCTGCGTCGGGCGGGAAGATGGCGTGAGAGTCTCCCCAGGCTTCCATAGGTTCGAGTCTCCGTCCCTCTGTTGGACACAGTGCATCAGTGTGGCCCGGGGTCCACAGGCCCCTCAACCCTCACCCCCACCTCATCCCCACCCTCACCCCAGGTCCCTCTCCCCCACCCCCACCACAGGTCCCTCAACCCCCACCACACCCCCATCCCCACCCCAGGTCTCTCAACCCCCACCCCCACCCCAGGTCCTTCCACCCCCATCCCTCCCCCCACCCCCACCCCAGGTCCCTCAACTTCCACCCCAGATCCCTCCACCTCCACCCCCACCCCCACCCTCACCCCCACCCTCACCCCCACCCCAGGTCCCTCTCCCCCACCCCCAGGTCTCTCAACCCCCCCCAGGTCCTTCCACCCCCATCCCTCCCCCCTCCCCCACCCCAGGTCCCTCAACTTCCACCCCAGATCCCTCCACCTCCACCCCCACCCCCACTCCCACCCTCACCCCCACCCCCACCCCAGGTCCCTCAAGGGGGCCTGCCCCCCCCCTTGGCTCGGAGACCCCTAGGCTTCGTCGGCGTACACATCCGAGTCCGGAACCGCTGGGGTTGGGGTTGGGGTCCCCGAGGACGTCCTCCTCCTGACCCTGACCCTCTCCCATCCCCTCCCCTCCGGGACCCCGGGCGCCCCGGGTCAGTCCGCGGCCGAAGCCACCGACTCACCAAAGTTGGCGCCACGCATGGCGCCAGCCAGTGCGATCTGCGCCCGCTGCGGGGCGGCGACACTGAGCTCTGGGGCGGCGCGCGGAACGGCCCTCCGGGTGATTTGCATGCGGCATCTTGATTGGTCCCCGCACAAAGGCTGTGGGCGGGGCCTGCGGCGGCCCCTCCCTCAGCGCCTCCCGTTCGGTCGCGCCCGCATTCGGAGCGGGGAGCCCGCAGGGAGGGAGGCTCCGGTCCCGCTCCGTTACCGAGCCTGAGGGGCTGGTGTCAGAGTCCCCAGTGACGGGCACGCCCTCCTCCGGCTCCTGCCCGTCCCCGCGCCGCCCTGGACCTCCGGCTCTGCTTTGTAGTACGCTCCCCCGCCCATTGTGAACACACCCAGGGTCTGGCGTGAGCCCTCCGCTCCCTCCTCTGCAGTCTCCCTGAGCTCAGCGGAGAGAGTCCCCTGCTCTAAGCCACACAGATCTAGCTTCCATTCCTAGCTCGGTCGTTTCCTGCCTCTCTGATCTCTGCTCCTCCTCTAGAAAAGGAATGGAACGTCCTTCCACAGGGAGTATGGAGATTAAATTTTCATACAACACACCTGCACCCTATAAGAGCCCCATATATCTATTTATATCTATATCTATATCTATATCTATATCTATCTATATCTATATCTATATATCTATACCTATCTATATTTTATTGATTTTTTAAAAATATATATCTTATTGATTTTTTACAGAGAGGGAGGGAGGGAGATAGAGAGCTAGAAACATTGATGAGAGAGAAACAGAGATCAGCTGCCTCCTGCACACCCCCCACTGGGGATGTGCCCACAACCAAGGTACATGCCCTTGACCGGAATCGAACCTGGGACCCTTCAGTCCGCAGGCCGACCCTCTATCCACTGAGCCAAACCGGTTTCTGCTAAAAACATTTTTTAAAAATGAAACATTACGAAAATGAGCTAACATTGATTTGATCATTATTTCTCAAAACCTGGGGTGGGGGAATTAGGTGTGTCTTATTTGCTCAGCGAAAATACTGGAAGGACAGTCTCCCCAGAAACTTGACCGCGGTAATCCCTGGGAAGAGGAAGCGATTTCCTTCCTCGAGCTTTCTCTTCTGCATTTTTCCTATTAAAATTAAATGTTATTTTTGCAGTCACTGAAAGTGTCACGATGCAATACGTCTGCTTGGTTTGGAGCCCACTTGGCGGAGGGGAAAGGCCGCTGCAGGGCCGCGGCGTGACCGCTAGGGGGCGGGCGCGCCCGGGGCGGGCGGCGGGGCGGGGCCCGGGGCTGCGTTTCGGGGCGGAGCCCGGGCTGCCCGGCTCCTCCCGCCCGGCCCCAGCCGCGCGCTCCGCTCCGGCTGCAGGATGGCTCGGCCGCGCGTGCGGCTGGTGGTGACGGCGGACGACTTTGGCTACTGCCCGCGGCGGGACGAGGGCATCGTGGAGGCCTTCCTGGCCGGCGCGGTGACCAGCGTGTCGCTGCTGGTGAACGGCGCGGCGGCGGAGAGCGCGGCGGAGCTGGCCCGCAGGTGAGGCGTGGCCCCCGCGGAGCCAGAACGGGGTTCGGGCGGCGCCTGTGCTGGGGGAGGGGGGGCCTCCCGTGCTCCGGCTCGCCTTCCACACTCAGGCACCGGATCCCCACGGGCCTCCACGCCAACCTGTCCGAGGGCCGCCCCGTGGGCCCGGCGCGCCCTGGAGCCTCGTCGCTGCTCAGCCCCGAAGGCTTCTTCCTGGGCAAGATGGGATTCCGGGAGGCGGTGGCCGCCAAGGATGTGGCTCTGCCCCAGGTGCGGAAGTGCGGCTGCGGGAGGAGGACACCCCCCCCAGGCCCCTCCCGCAGGGTACCGTGACGCCATCGGGGGCTGGGGCGGGCTCTGCATGCCTCCCTGGTTCCATCCCCGGAGCTGTCAGTCTGCACGGGGGCTGGGGTCGCGGGCGTGGCGAGGTCCTCTGTGATGTTCCCGGAGGTTTAAGGTGCCACAGTCCTCTCCTTGCAGGTGCGGGAGGAGCTGGAGGCCCAGCTGGGTCGCTTCCAGGAGCTACTGGGCAGGAAACCCACGCACGTGGACGGGCACCAGCATGTGCACGTGCTCCCAGGTTGGTGGTCCCGGGCGGGGGTCGGGGTTGTGCCCAGGTGCGGGGAGAGTTGCCCCCAGGTCAGTGCTCCCAGGTGGGGAGAGGTGCTCCCCCTGACAGCGTTTCGGCCGCCCACCCGCAGGCGTGTGCCAGGTGTTCGCAGAGGCGCTGCAGGCCCACGGGGTGCGCTTCACGCGTCTGCCGCTGGAGCGGGGCCTGGGAGACTGTACTTGGCTCGAGGCCCCTGCGCGCGCCTTCGCGTGTGCCGTGGAGTGTGATGCCCGGGCTGCTGTGGGCCCCTTCTCCCGTAGTGGCCTAAGGTGAGTCCCCCACCACCACCCCCAATCGCTGTGCCATATTCCCTACCTGGCTCCGGTCCCAGTGGGTCCAGCTGGCTGTTCAGTTAGCCAGCTGAGTATGTTTCTCATCTGCCCTTGGCCTAGCCCCCTGCCCTGATGCCTGGGTATCCACAGGTGGACGGATGCCTTCGTGGGTCTCAGCACCTGTGGCCGGCACATGTCTGCTCATCGTGTGTCGGGAGCACTGGCTCGGGCCCTGGAAGGCACACCCACAGGTCACTCCCTGACGGCGGAGCTGATGGCCCACCCCGGCTACCCCAGTGTGCCTCCCGCCGGAGGCTGCGGGGAGGGCCCTGACGCCTTTTCCTGCTCTTGGGAACGGCTTCACGAGCTGCGTGTCCTCATGGAGCCGACGCTGCAGGCCCAGCTTGCCCAGGACGGCGTGCAGCTCTGTGCCCTCCATGACCTGGAGTCCAAGAGACGGGGTGAAGCCACTCGACAAATCTTCCTGGAGCCCGCCCACCCGTGACCCTGACAGCCAAGGACTAAGGCCTTAGTGCTTAGGAATGCGGCAAGGGTTGAGCTTTGGCACAGCCCACAACCAAACCCTAGCGGGGGTTCTGTGACTTCGCTGGCAGAACGATGCCACCTCTTTGCCCAGGTCCTCATGACTCGGAGTGACAGCCAGAGCTTTGGCAGCCCTGTTGGCTGCGGTAGGTCCGTGTGATACGCAACAGGGGGCCTGCCAGACATTTTGTGCTCTTCACGTTTCTACGTAAGCATCGTTTTTGTGTAGGTGTGGTGGGGAGAGATCACTATATTAATAAAATAATGTGTCTTGTAAGCTTCGATTTATAAACTGCCCCCAGAAAACCTTTACAGACACAGGGGCAGACAAAGGCAACTTCAGGGCCCAAACCCAGTCACTTCCAGAAAAGACATATAAAACAAGTTCCGCTCTCATTTTGTTCATGCTTAGCTTTTGGGAGGTGTGAGAGGAGAAGAATGTCTCACCTGGATACTTTTTTAGGAGGTATATTATATATCTCAATTTTTATTGAAAAAGAAGTCACCAGCCCGAACAGTGTGGCTCAGTGGTTGAGCATCAAACTATGAGCCAGGAGGTCACAATTCTATTCCAGGTCAGCCACATGCCCCGGTTGTGGGCTCGATCCCCTCTCGATTCAGGAGGCAGCCTGAATGATTCTCTCATCATTGATATTTCTCTCTCTCCCTCTCTGAAATCAATAAAAATATATTTGAGGGGAAAAATTTTTTTTTAAAGAATTCTTTCTCATTAATGCTTCTGTCTCCCTCTCTTACTCTCCCTCTTTCTGAAATCAATAAATATTTTCACCCAGCTCATGTGGCTCAGTGGTTGTGACCTCTGAACCAGATCATGATTTGATTCCTGCTCAGGGCACATGCACAGGTTGTGGGCTCCATCTCCAGTGGGGGGCGTGCCAGAGGCAGCTGATCAATGATTCTCATTGATGTTTCTATCTATCCCTTCCTCTCTGAAATCAATTTAAAAAAAAAAGACTACAGAGATTACTTGAAAAAAATGTTTTCCAAAAAACATTTCTAATCACCCAGATTAGCCATTAACAAGTACTGCTTGGCCCAGGCACTAGGCTGAAGTCCCAATTTTAGCTCCAGTCCTCCAGTTGGTGGAGGGAAGCCAGTTCTATGCTGGGGCGGGAAGAACTCGGATCAACTCAGACTTTGCTTTCTACGGGGTCAGGTGGCTGCCCTGCAGGGCGGGGCCCTGAGGTGCGGTGCCGGAAACCGATCATTGTTTCACTAATAGAAAGATGTGGGAGGCTGGAACTGGTTTGGTCGGCCTACAGACTGAAAGGTCCTGGGTTCGATTCCGGTCAAGCGCATGTACCTTGGTTGTGGCACATCCCCAGTAGGGGGTGTGCAAGAGACAGCTGATCGATGATTCTCTCTCATCCATGTATCTAACTCTCTATCCCTCTCTCTTCCTCTCTGTGAAAAATCAATAAAATATATTTAAAAAAAAAAAAAGATGTGGAAGGCTGATCAACCTTTAAGCTCTGAAAGGTCAGAGCCAACCCCTCCTTATCTAATTAATGGCCCTGGCCCTATCTAATTAATGGTAACTGAGGCAACTTCCCCACCAAATAATCATGTAAATCCTTACTGATAAAATAGTCTCCTGTTACTGGAATTACCTGCCTAAGGGCTATGGGTGTATCCCAGCCTCAATAAAAGGGATAGCAAGGCCAGAGCCTAGGGTAGTCCTCCCACTAGAGGTGGGCTCCCGCCTGCCCCCCAATATTCCTAAATGAATGCTTTCCTAGTCTCTTTCATTTGTGTGCGGCCTTCTCCAGAACCCAAATCCTGAACCGGAACCGTAAACCATGTGAGACGTGAAAGGGGCTCCCACAGTGCTGCCAAGTAACAAGAGCAGGGCTGAGGCCACCAGCCTATGGACTTGGCCTTGAGGAAGTCCTGAGGCACTTGCCAGAGGAACCTTGGAGCTAGAGGGGTACCAGTCAGGCTGCAGGAGTGATTAAGGAGGCCCATATATATATTTAATATATTTTATTGATTTTGTACAGAGAGGAAGGGAGAGAGATAGAGTTAGAAACATCGATGAGAGAGAGTCATCGATCAGCTGCCTCTTGCACACCCCCTACTGGGGATATGCCCGCAACCAAGGTACATGCCCTTGACCGGAATCGAACCCGGGACCTTTCAGTCCCCAAGCCGACGCTCTATCCATTGAGCCAAACCAGTCCCGGCAGGAGGCCCATATTTTGAACTGAACAGCCTGGCTAGTGTGACTTGGTTTGAGTGTCATCCTGTGCACCGAAAGGTCTGGGGTTTGATTCCTAGTCAGGGCACATACCCAGGTTTCAGGTTCCATCCCAGGTCTGGATGCATTTGGGAGGCAACTGATCCATGTTTCTCTCTCACCAATCTTTTTCTCTCTTACCCTCTCCCTTCCTCTCTAAAATCAATTTTAAAAGTCCCCAAAAAACAACAATAATGAAGGAAGGCAAGAAAATGGTAACTCCAGAGTTCAGGAAGGGAGAGGGTCTTGCAGGTTTTGGGAAGGGGGAACTGTGGCTGTGTCTGGGCTCAAAGGGACCAGTAGTGGAGCTAGACTGTGTAACAACACAGGCCATGTGCCTTTGGCCGTCACGGGAGCTTAATCTCTTCCTTTAAAAACTGGAATAATGGTGCCCATGGAGTTGTCCTGAGCTTCAAAGGGAATGAAGTGCTGGGACGTGGCAGAGAACCCCAGCCGATGATCCAAGGAAAGGACTGCTTCTTGCTTCCAGGTAAAATAAATCCCAAATAAAATGTTCCTCTCAGAAATATGGAGGCCTGGTCTCAAAATCACTGGCAAGGAACTAGGCTGATAAGAAAATAGTGTTAGCCGAAACCGGTTTGTCTCAGTGAATAGAGCGTCGGTCTGCGGATTGAAAGGTCCCAGGTTCGATTCTGGTCAAGGGCATGTACATTGGCTGCGGGCACATCCCCACTAGGGGGTGCGCAAGAGGCAGCTGATGGATGTTTCTCTCTCATTGACGTTTCTAGCTCTCTATCTCTCTCCCTTCCTCTCTTTAAAAAATCAATAAAAATTAAAAAAAAGAAATAGTGTTAGATGTCCTGGCTGGGTAGAGCATCGTCCTAATGTGCCAAGGTTGTGGGTTTGATCCCCGAGCAGGGCACATATAAGAAACAGTATGTCCACAAATAAGTGGAGTAACAAATCAATGTTTCTCCTCTCTCACTTCTTCTCTAAAAACATCAAATTAAAAAAATAATTGGCACCATTATTCCAATTTTTAAAGGAAGAGACTAGCTGGCTTGTTCAATGCTTAGAGCACTGGCCCTCAGACTGAAGGGTTGTGAGTTCTATTCTGGTCAAGGCACTTACTGGATCCCTGGCCTCTGGTCAGGGTGCATGTGGGAGGCAACTGACTGATGGTCTCTCTCACATCAATGTTTCTCTCTCCTCCTTCCGCTAAAAATCAATGGAGCCTGGCTGGCGTGGCTCAGTGGTTAAGCATTGACCTATGAACCAGGAGGTCCCAGTTTGACTCAATTTGATTCTGTGTCAGGGCACATGCCCGGGTTGTGGGCTGGATCTCCAGTGTGGGGCATGTAGGAGGTAGCCGGTTAACGATTTCATCATTGATGTTTCTCTCTGAAAGCAATAAAAGCATATTTTTATCAATGGGAAAAAATACCCCCAGGTGAGGATTAACATAAATAAATGGTTAGGGCCCTGGGCTGAATCAATGGCCCAGTTGCCCACTGTCCTGGAGACTCAGAGGTTTCTAGGCATAACTCAAGGAAATGTTCTAAGGACCCCCTCAGGAACACCCTCATTAATTCCATGACCTCCATCAAGATAGCCAGCTTGCTTGCTCTAGCGGACTTAGCTCAGCATCTAGAGCATAGGCTCTAGGACTGAAGGGACCTGGGTTTGATTCTGGTCAAGGACATGTACCTCAGTTGCAGGCTTGATCCCTGGTGCGGAGTAGGGAGGAGGCAATTAACTAATGTGTCTCTCCACTCTAAAAATCAGTGGGGGAGCCGGGACGGGTTTGGCTCAGTGGATAGAGCGTCGGCCTGCGGACTGAAAGGTCCGGGTTCGATTCCGGTCAAGGGCATGTACCTTGGTTGCGGGCACATCCCCAGTAGGGGGTGTGCAAGAGGCAGCTAATCGATGACTCTCTCTCATCAATGTTTCTATCCCTCTCTCTCTTCCTCTGTAAAAAAAAAAAAAAATCAATTAAAAAAAAAATATATATATATATATATTTTTTTTTTTAAATCAGTGGGGGGAAAAGATCCTCAGGTGAGGATTAACAAAAGATACCCAGTTTGGCTCCGACTGCTTTGGCTCAGTGGATAGAGCATTGGCCTGCGGACTGAGGGGTCCCAGGTTCCATTCCAGTTAAGGCCACATTCTCATCATTGATGTCTCTCTCTCTTTCTCCTGCTCCCTTTCTCTCCGAAATCAATTTAAAAATAATAAAAAGATAGCCAGTTTGCTTTTCTGCTGAATGTGGGTATCACTCTTTAGGGGCTGATCAGACTGAAGTAGAGGTGCTGTCTGCTCCCCAGACAGCCAAGGGAGACCCAATAATCTGGACTCTCTGGCTTTTTCTGTGCCTTTTGGAGGCTGAGTCATGGGAGGATAGGAGCAGGCAAAAGCTGCAGACCACAGAGGCCCTAGGACCTGGCATCAGCCATCCCTCCCACAGCTCCGGGAGTGCAGGCCCATCACAGTGAGGAGGAAACACACACAGCCAAACCAGTGTTGGAGAACATTTTTATTAAGGTCAGCAGAACGGGATCGCAGCATCTTTAGAAAGCCTATTCTCTGCCATGGTGGGCAGGGGCAGGGAGGAGGGGGGAGGACCTGGCCCACTTTGGTTCAGTTCAGGTGGGTGTGAATTCCTGAGTGGGCTTGCGTCAGTGGGTGACAGCTCTCCCCTCCCCCAGAGGACCCAGCCTGTTTGATTTCAGAGCTGCTCAAAG